GATTGCTTGGCTTTCATCCTGCAGCACCTGGCACCGGGGGCTCTGGTGGGAGGACAAGAGAGGTGGTAACGATATAAATCAGCAGGTGAGGAATGACTGCAGAGTTGTTGCTCTGTAGTGTTTGGGGGACAAAAAACAGCTTCAGCTGCTGGCTGTGTTTTAGGATATTTGTCTTCCTCACTGTAGCTGTTGCTGAGTGCTGACAAGCCCCGTAGCGCTGCCCCGAGGACAGGAGAGGCAGAAGTGCAGCGAGCACCTGCTCCTAGGCCGGCCCTGGGGAGGTTTCTGATGGCCCCTGGACCTCTCTGGAGGGAGCTCCCAGGGCCCTTTCAGGAGATGCTCACATCAGCTGCGGCAGGGAGGAGCTGGGGGAGCAGAGAAACAACACAGAAATATGGTTTTATCTGATTCACTTAATTTGCCTCATCCTGTTGTGAAGGATGGAGGAATAACAGCCTCTAGAGCAGGACGCAGAGCAGTAAGTTTGCTGTCACCTCTGCCAGCTCCAGCACGGATCCTGCGAGGGGCACGGCTGCCCTGGGACGTTGCTGACCCAAGGTGCCACGCAGAGCCCGTGCGGGGAGCTGATGGAGGCAGCGAGGATCCTCCTGGGGGCTGGAGGGAGCCAAAGGTGCTGCTTCCAGCCCAGGGGTGGGGTGTGGAGCAGGGCACCCCTGCTCATAGGAGGAAGGAGCACCCTGGTGTGCCTGGACCTGGTTTGGGTGTGCTAACTCCCGTGGTGCTGTTACCTAAGCAGCTGCATGCGGTCACATTTCTCTCCGTTGGCTACGTGCGTCTCCCCATGGTGTTTGTTTTCCCCGTCCCTTTTGTTGCTGAAACGTCAGTTTGCAAATTGCTCTTGGGCACGTTGGCAGAGCTGCTCAGCTTTCCCTCTTCCCCTCAAAGCCTTTGGGCATGGCGGCGAGGTCCCGAGCCCCGGCTGCACACCACAGGCATGCTCTGAGCCGGCGCGTCCGGCGGTGTCTGGCCTTCACCAAAACCCCTAATTGCACCTTGGGCAGGGAGCACCGATTTACTCCCAGCTATATTTATCTTGTGCCCGGGACTGCAAAAAGGACAGGAGCGCAGCCTTTCCTGCCCGTCTCCGCAATGAGAGGGCTGTGTCTGCCGGGCAGCTCCACAGCTGGGTGTTTGAGGCTGAGCTGCAAAGCGTGAGGTCTCCCTGCCAAAATTTGGTAGCCGTGAAAGCAACACATGAGGTCCAAGGCTCCTTGGCTTCAGTTTTTTGTAACTGACTCTCTGATCCAAAGCAGGTTATGGTGTGCAAGTCCCCGGGCTGCTACAGGGGAGCTGGATGTGCCATAGCGGGCAGCTCCTGGGCGAGCTGCTCGGAGGATGCTGGAGGGGAGCGGGGTGCAGCACAGCCTGGGCACTGCCTGCTGAAGTAAGCCCAGAAAAAAAGAAAGGCAGCTCCTGAAGGTGCGTGCAGCTCTTGGTGCAGTCTGTCTTAATTTATTTTACTCTGCCTGCTTCAGAGACCCTCTTACACTCTCTTAAAGGCTTCGTTTGCTCCTCAATGGGTCCTTCTGCCAGGGGGAATCACCGCAGCCCTGCAGGAGCCCCCTGCTTTTGTGGGGTCCCTGAGCACTGAGCTGGGGCAGGGTGGCTGGGGAGAGGGCTCCAGGGCCAGGCTGGAGAGGGTCTGGGCTGGAGAGCGGCCGTGGAGGGCCCTGGAAGAGTTAAGGTTTATCTGGGAGGGTGCGAGCCCGGTTCCTCCTGCCTTGCCTTTCGTTCAGCGCTGCCAGCTGCTATTAATACTTCAGCACATGAGTGTTAAAGCGCGAGCAGAAAGCCCGGGGAGGATATGCTAGGGATTTCCGGCAGTTTGAGGCTTGCAGGCAGAGGAGAGAGGTTGGGAGCCAGCAGAGAGGAGAGCCCGAAGAGGGGCTCTTCTTAAAGACACACTGCTCCCGGCACGGATGGGATGGGATGGGATCGGGGAGATGTGTGTGCAGGGGCTCAGGGCAGGAGGGGATGTGCTGTGCTGCTGCCACCACTTCAGCAATCCCCTGCTCTGACCGTCAGGCACGCTTTGGATTGTGTCCTGGACATGCTCTTTGGCTTGGGAAAAGTAATAACCCGAGAGGCTCTGTGTTTCCCTGGGTTGAACAAATGTGATTTTTCATAAAAATAATCAGGGAGGGGCAGAACTGCGCTTGGCAGCAAATGTGGAGTGAGAGCCCCGCGCTCCGGGGCTGGGCAGCTCCGCGTCTGCCGGATGGGAGAGGGGGAAGGAGAGGGGAGGGAGAGGAAAAATCCCCGGCAAAGAGCAGGGCAGCAGCACCCGGAGGCTAAGTACCTCCCTTGGAAAGAGGGGCATCTCCTTGGTTCTCTCTCTTCAAATGAAGAAGAGAATTTTAGCCAGCGCTTCCTTTCTTCTCCATCCCTGGGGCTCATAACTGTAAATGAAAGGTTCCTGGAGCAAGCGGTGGAGGCTCAGCCACTGTCATCTTCTGGCGAGATTCAGCCTGGGGATAAATGGCATGGAGGGAGTGTGATGGAGCAACACTTGATTGCACTGTTTGAGTTCAGCCCTGTGTTGTCTCCTGTGAAAATGCTTCGCCGAACATAATTTGATTTAGGTGTGCTCCACGCAGCCCCGCTGTCCTCCCCCTCTGCTCTCCCTCCCATCTCAGTAGCCTTGCAGACAGCTGAGCTGGAGAAAGAACCCCTTGAATCCCCGTTTTCCCCGGCCTCCCCAGGCCCTCCAGGTCTTTGGCGGCTCTGGCTGCTTTTGGCACCTGTGTCAGCGCGCTCGGAGGCTGCGATCCCTGCGCTGACTTGCAGCGTGCGTCCTTTCCAGCTCCCCCAGCACCAGGGCTGGGGTTACCGGGTGATGCCTGGCTGCATGAAGCTGCAGGCTCCAGCTCTGGGGCTGTGTGAGGGAGCCGGGTGGAAAAGAAAATAGCGCTTCTGCTTGGTGAAATGCTACGGGAATATAATCCTGGCATGAAGCTGGGAAGGCAGGGGCACCACACATAGCATCTGCTGGAGTATTTGCAGGGGTCTGCACCGCGGTAGCTGCTGCTGCAGCTGCTGTCAGTGCCGAGAGCCCCAACTTCCCTGCCAGCATCCCCAGATTTGGGCCTGGGGCTCCATGGCCATGCTCGGGGCTGAGCTTTTGCTGTTGTCCCAGCAGCTTCTCTGCACGCTCAAACAGTTCACCACAAACAGTTCATTGCTTAGCAAAGGGCTGGGGCGTTGCTGGGCCAGCATCGGAAAGGTGTGAGAGCGATAAAATGTGAGCTGATCTGCTATCAGGGTTTGCTTTACCTTCCTGCAGTTTCCTTCCTAGCTTTCTCTGCAAATGGAGTTGTTTTTTTTTTTGTCTTTGCAGCAGACAGTGGTTTGTCTTAAAAGCTGTTCCTCTGCTGCTGGTTCTGCTTCTTCCCTGAGAAGCAGCCCCAGGCTGGGAAGAGCCTCCTCTGCCCCTTCCCAAACCTTGGATGTGTTCCTGGCTTCCCCTGCCCTTCTAAAGGTGGTTCTAGGAAATGCAGTGTATTTTATTGTTCTCTATATAGGCTCATACAGTGCACCAAAACCCAGTCACTCCTCAACAGCCACGGGCACCTCGGTGCCACCTGCAGCGGTGGCAGGGCAGCCTGGTGGGCGCTGCTACAAGGGGAGGCGCCTGGCTGTGCCTTTAAAGAGAATCCTTCAAAATTCACTCGAGGACTTGAGTCTGAATGAGAGCATCAACCTTGAGGTTTCGTGAAATTAAAGCTCGCTAGCATTAATCATCATTTGGATCCGCTTCACTGGGTGCCTCACGCTGATTTACCCTGCGAGAAATAATGCCTTTGCTTCGTCATGGCTAATCACCTGGGTCCCGACGGGTTAAAATCAGCAGGCTGAAACATGCGTGCTGCCCCGTCCCTCCTTCCTTTCCATTCACCTTCTTCCTTTCTTGATACTTCCCCTGAGTTTTTTCCCTTCCTCTCCGGTGCAGGCCTGCTCATGTTGTAAGGAGCCCCATGATAAAGGCTGCTCGGTGGTGCCGTGGGCTGCGGCTTGTGCTCACGGGGCCGTGCGGCTCCCCTGGGCTCTCGCTTTGTGTTCAGCACCTTCGCGGTCTCGGGCAGGAAGCAGGGTTTGGGCTGTGCATGGGAAAGCATCGCTTATTGTCCCCTCTCTGCTGCCTTAGGCGCTGGCAGCAGGAGCACGCAAAGCTTTCACAGCAAATGGAGAACAAACAGGAATTTGGGCAGGAATCTGATGCTCCCTGTGCACAGAATGTGCCCAGCTCTGGGGATTAGGAACTTTGCTGGGGACTGGTGTGCTCGAGAGCTGCCTCTCCCTGTCTGTTGTGACCCCAACGTGTGTCTGCTCCCGTGTGGCATTCGCTTTGTTCCTCCCTCTGTTTGATGACAGCAATGCTCCGTCAGCGGCTGTCTGGGGAAACATGCGAGTTTACCGGGATTTTTCGTGTTGCCCCTGAAAAGCAACGCGAGGGGGGTTCAGGCTGTGAAAGCCAAGGTCCCAGCACCGCTCTGGGCTTCGGGCCTGCAGCTGGCTTGTTCTCCAGCCCGGGGACGGAGGCTGTGCCCTCGCAGCTGGCCGGGTGACTCAGGCTGCGGAGCGTCAATAGGAATCGGCGGTGGGTGGCACGGGGGGTGGCCGCTGGCAGCCAGCATCGCTGCTCAGCCTTACCCATATCCTACAGCAGGTCTGTGCCAGGGGTGCCTGCAGTGTCCCTGCCCTCGAGCCAGCAGCTTTGGGGGCGCAGAGCCATGGTGGTGACCCCCATGTTAGTAGGGCAGCATCCCCCCGCTCTGTGCCTGATGGCAGTGCTCACGGGGGGACCGTGTGTGGGATCTGGGCAGAGGGCAGGCGCCGTGTCCTGGAGGTGTTACAGCCGCGTCCCCGCCGCCTGCCTGCCCTGCCCTGGCCGCCGGCCAAGTGGAAGTTTCCGTGAAGGCCAGCCCATCGCTGCGGCCGCGCATCCATCCCTCCAGCCCGCCAGGGAGGCGAGGAGCTGGCCGCTGCTCGCTGCGTGCCCCACGCCCCTCGGGAAGGGACGGGCGCCTCCAAAGCCCCCTGCGCTCCACCTTGGGAGCGAGGAGGAAGGCCGAGGGCTTTGGTTATCGCTCCGAGGCTGGCTGCAGGAATCCTCCCCTTATCGCGGCGTCGCCAAGGGGACTGCCAAGGCGGAGCGGGGACTCCTCGCCAGGACCAGGCGTTGAAGCTCTCCGGAGGGGCGCAGGGGGAGCGTGAACGTGTGCAGGGCTCGGGTCCTGCCCGGGAGCGGCAGCCCCGTGATGCTGCGCCGGGAGTGAAGTCAGCCTTCATCAGCCGAATAGTTTATGCATGAATCGAAACTTCAGACCTGGCAGGGTGGGGGAACGCGCAGGATCTTTGCTCTTTTCAAATGCTCTCGCCAAGGAAGGAGGAGGGGATAGAGGAAATAGCAGCAAAATAGGACTGGGGAAGCGGGGAGAGATTTGAGAAGCTGGATGAGTTGTTCGCTCTGTTCTTGCGAGGAGCCAAGTTCCTTAAGCATCTCCTGGTGGATGTTAACAGAGAGCTGTGGAGACCGGAGCATTCCCCTGGACTCTCGCAAGCTGTAGCTTTAAGACTGTTTTACAGAGGACTTGGGATTTCCAGTTTTCCTGCGCCTGCTGGAGTATTTCAGGGAGTTACAGGATTTTCGGGTCATGCACCCCCTTTTTCCTTTTTCTTCCTCCTTTCTCTTCCTCTCTTACTCTTTCTTTTCATTTCAAAGAGACAAAGCTACTTCAGTTTGGAGCACAAACATATGATCAGCACATGGAAATGTGGTAATTTGGATGCATTCATGATTGCAACAGATTGAAGAAATTAGACCAGACAAAGAGCTTTTTTTGGAGGAGGAGGAGGCAAGGCAAGGAGGGAGGGAGAGTGGGTGAAAGAAGGGGACGCCACCGAAAAAAGGGACGGCCGTGACACGCGGATGCTAAATATATCCCGTAGTAATGGAGAAGGACCGGATTTCAGGTAGGCTATTGATCTTTTAATATGTTCTGTTCTGCCTCTGCCTCCCTACCTTTCCAGTAGCTTCTGCACTTTAAGAAGAGAAACAGCCACGCTCCGGCTCGGTTTCAGCAGTTTCTTTAATTTATTTATTTTCTGCAACGTTTCCTTTTTGCATTTTTTTTTCCATCCTCCTGAGCCCTCTAGACAGAAGGTGGTTCCAGCAGAAACCGGGGGGGAGCGGGGGAAAAAAGAAACTGCTCTCTAGGTCTGGATTTCATTTGAGCCTCCCTCTCCCCCCCTCCGTTCCCATGTGCCGCCCGGCGCGGGGGGATGAATGCTGAGCCTGTTAGCTCGGGGCTGCGAGTCGGGAAGAGGGAGGAAAAGAGCCGAGCTCTTGGCATGGAGACGCATTTCTGCTCTGAAGGTTGGCTCCTGGCTTTGTGTGGCTGTGCGTCGGGGTTGAGCTTTCTCTGTCCGTCTCTCGCCCTCCGGTGCCCGCTGCCTTGCTGGGGGGGAGCTGCAGGATGGGGAGCTGCAGGATGCGGCCCCGCGGGTGCCTGCGTGTCCTGCACCGCTGCTGCTCGCCCTGCAGCGCTGCCAGCTCGTGCTTCGCTCCCCTTGCTGGCCGAGCACGGGGTGCTTGGGGTGGCTGGGGGGCGGGCGGAGGGCGCTGCGAGGAGGAAGGAATAACTCTGTCTTGGTCCCCAGCTTCCCTGCAAATCCCAGCTAATGGTGCGTGCCTGAGTGCTTCCAAAACCCGCTCCCAGGTGTGCTGAGCTGGCAGGGAGCGGTGTCTCCGCAAGCTGCTCCTGCAGCAGTTGCAGGGTGGCTGCTCCTGGGACCCTTTATCCTGAGGGAGCAGCGGGGAGATGGGATGGGCAGCACAGTGGCACCGTGAGGCTCTGGCTTGGTGGGTGTGAGCAGGACAGCCGGGATCAAAGAGGGACAGCGAGGGGCAGGGGCCAGCAGTAAAATCCCCGGTGTGCTGCAGCCGACGGGATGCCACCGTGGGTCTCCCTCTTCTGTGCTGAGCCGGCGCGGGCACAAGGCCTCTCCTGGGCGTTCCCAGGCGGCTGCTGGGCATCGGCGCTGGAAGTGAAACCACAGGGATGAGAGGAAACGCTTAAGCCAGGGTGGAGCGAACTGTGGCCAGAGAAAGCTGCTGCCATGGCTGGCCCCACACAAACCTGTGGGGCCCCATCTGGGCACATGCTGAGAGCCGCTGGGAAGGGAACTTACCTGCAGGAGCATCCTCCGCTCCTCACTGCCTTCGAAGAGCGCAGCTGATGCCTCCTCGTCCCTCTCTCCATCTCTCTTGCTTGTGCTTTCTGCTCTGGTTTGAGCCACTTCAAAGCATTCCTGAGAGCTGCTCCTAACGCAGCGGCTGGCGTGCGTTTTGGCAAGGCAGTGCCTTGGGCTGGGAAGCCCTCTGCCACTGCGTGCAGGCCTCTGCAAGGCAGGGTTTGGGGGAACAGGAGGAGGTGGCAGGGTGGCTTTGTTCCCCTTGTGGTTTGGCCTTCCACAGCTCCTGTTGCACTCTCTGTGCACCCCTGGGCCCCTTCCTGCTGTGCAGAGGAGGGGGTTGCAAAAGGTTGCTGGTGTGAAAGGGAACTCTGATTTAGGGATGTGGTTTAGTGGATGGTAGGGAGAATGTTGGACTGGATGATCTTGGAGGTCTTGTCCAAACTTCTAAGATTTCTGGCTGTGGTGATGTGATCTGAGGCTCTTTGTTCCCAAAAAGCATCACAGGTGGGTCTCTCCCAGCCCGTAAGATGCTGCGAGAACCCCCTGCCTGGGCTGGCTCTGCTTTTGGGGCTGCAGGCAGGAGGACTCTGGGGAGCACGGTTGTGCAGAGGTGCACGAACTCATGCTAAGGCATGAGCATGAGCAGCGTCTGCGAATTACCAATGTCCAAGTGCGTGCGTGTTTCACTGGCCCTTGCTGGAATTGACTCAGCTGCGGGTGGTTCAGATGTGGTAGAGCTAGGGCTACGTCATTTTGGGGTCAGAATGCACAAACTGGGCATGGGGAGCGCGCCCCGAGCCTTACCCCAAGGAGCCGTGCCTGGGGGCTGGAGGTGGGGCACGCGTGTGGCTGCTCCGCTCGGCTCAGGCAGGAGCAGGCTGTGCCTGGCAGGATGGGGAATGTAATGATGTAGGAAAACATCCCTAATGGGGCTTCAGGCACAAAACTGGCAATATCATGGGGGAGAAGAGGAGCTCGGCTGGCTCTATGTCTCGTTCAGAAGGCACTGCCCACGACACGGGCAGCCGGGCTCTCCCCCCGTGGCCGGGCAGGCAGCGCTCCCAGCACAGTCAGGGAGAGCCAGAGCTCCGGCCTCGGTGACTAAACCGAAACATGACTCAGATGAAAGCAGATCTGTGCAGCGCTGGGGGCCACGTTCGTCACTGTTCTGGCCCTAAGCATGCTTTTAATTAATATTCTGCTGTGGGTGGGAAGAGCTGACTCCAGATCTGACTGTGTCGCTGCTGGACGGGGTGAGGGCACCTCGGAGCGGGTGGGAATTGGGCCTCTCCTCCTCCTCGAGGGCTGTTTTCCCACAGCTGCTGCAGCTCAGCACGTCCCATGGGGTCTGTGCCGCCCAAGCAGAGCCCAGGCTTCCTCGCAGCGGAGCAGTGTCCCCAGTCTGAGATCCCGTGACGATGATGGGTGCTGCGGGTGAAGGCCCTGAATGCACGGGGTGATGCTGGCGCTGTGCCTTGCTCCAAGCAGCGAGGTCTTCCTCGGGCTCTGTAAGGAGGCACCGGGCTCCGGTGGTGCCTTTGGGTGCAGGTATAAGAAATACCCTCTCATAGAACTTGCTGATTGCTTTTAATCCAGTTAAACCATCTCTCGCACGTTTCCACATGCTAATCCTGCATGAAAAGCCTAAATCAAATTGGTTTTCAGGCATCCTGCTCTGGTGGTTTGGGGCCGGGCAGCTGTGCTGGGGGCTGCGGCCCTGCTCACATCTGTGCCCTGCTCTGCCTTTCTGAGAGCTTTGGTGGCAGCAGGGGTGCTCCTCGGCTGGAGGTGGCTTTCCTCAGCAGATGGCTGGTTTGATTAGTCCAGGTCTTTCTACAAAGCCCTGATTGTTAATGCCACGGGGCCCTTTACCTCTTCTTGAAAGGAAAGGGTCAGCAGCATGCCAGGCGGCCGGGGTCTGGTTACTGCGATGAGGGAGTGATGGGATCGGTGCAGCCACCGTGGGAAAGGAAGTCTGATCTCCCAGGTAAATTATTAATGCTGCCTTTAAAATTACACTTGGAGAACCCAGTGTAGAAGTTACTAAATGATTAGCAGGTAATTATAACACCTGGATGCAATGAGTGGCATGTATGAGGTGCAGGGCCCAGGAGCAGGCAGCTGGGAGTGCTGGAGGTGCTTGTAAGCAATGTGCTGGACTCCAGAACAAACGGGGAACTGTTTATTAACCCACTGGTGATCCTTTTGTAATCTTTCAGTTATACAAAGCACCACCTGTGGGTATATGCTTGTGTGTGCGCATGCATACAGAATTTAACATGTTTTATGTGTCATTTGTGCACCTCAATGATCAGAGCAGTGAGAAGACGGCCCCTGCTTGCAGCACAGGGCTTTTGGAGGCTGCCCAGGCAGCAGCTCTCACACTGAGTACATCACGACCGAGCATCTTCGGTGGTCCTCAGAGCCCCGTGGGAAGCACCACGTGCCTGCCCTGAGCACTAGGGAAGGGGAGAAGTGATACTGTGTGTGAGTGTTGGAGGTGTGAAGGGTTGGTAGGAGGGAATGTGCCTTTTTGTCACTTTTTTATCCAAGTTAATCTTTAAAAAGCATGCAGCAGGGTTGGGGTTGCTTCTTATCACTCTGTCTTTTCTGCTTCAAGATTTTTGGTGCCGCTGTTGTTCCTGGGAGATGGCAGTTAGGACAGTGACATATTGCTTTTTCATGGTCCTCACACAGCTGTAGGCTCTCCTTTACCAAACATGTTTCTTTTTGCTCTGGCTTGTGGCATGGGACACCAGGTCAGGCATTTGCAGTGTGGGTGCTTCTACCTTCTGTTAGATCCCACCCCCTCCATCCAGCCCTGGCACACTGGATGCTTTTTCCTGCCTGTCCCACCTTTGCTGTCAGCCACTGGGCTGTCCTTAGTTCTCCCCTCACTGTCCCCTGCTCCTACCTGGTGCCCACAGCCGTGGTTTATTGCGGTGTTCAATGCCCTGTCCCCCGAGTGCCATGCACTGCAAAAAAGCCTGCAGCTTTTTTTTGCTGGTGTTCTTGTTCAAGCATCTGCCTTCACCCACTTCGGAGGTGCTGCACTGTGACCTGCGGTGACTGCGGGTTTTGGCTCAGTTAATAACCAGATAGGTCCCGTTGGGCCTCCTCTCGGGAAGGCTTTGGGTTTCTTGGGGCTGCAGAGCTGCCTCTGCAGACAGCTATGTTTGCAGCGTGCTCGGCTGCTCCCAGCCTGCTCTCGCCTGGCCGGTGGATGCATTCCCGCAGTTGTCTGAGGCATGTCAAGGTATGAAGCATTATCCATTTCCTGATGTCTGCTTTTAAATCTGCTGGAATTTCTGCTCATCTCCATTAAATACGATCCCGCTGTGGCGCACAGCTCATCTCTGGCCTGACAGCGGAGGTAACACTTCTCAGCACCGCTCTGCTGAGCTTGGTGAAGCCCGGGGCAGGAGCTCCCTTCCCGCCTGCCCTCCTGCTCCGTGCTTCGCTGGATGACTCGGAGCCTCCCAGCAGAGCGATTCCCATGCTGCTGGGGTGAGGGAGGACGTTTCTCATGCAAGTCAGGGCGCTTCCAAGGTCCAGCATACCATAATGCTGAGTAGGAGCAAGTACGTAGTTAGGGAAGTATGTCTGGGTCAACACATGTCTTCTGTTGCCTTAATGATCTCAGAATCACAATATCTTTGTCCTGTTGGCTTCTCCATGCTGTAGTGCAGCTGTAACTAATGGACAGAATAATTTGTTAGAGAGCAGCGATGCCTTGGGCTGCGAGCACTGCAGTGGGGCGCGGGGCCCCAGCATCGTATGCACAGCAGTGAAGGTTTAATGGGTAGCGAGTCCCGTTGCACGGTATGATGCCTGAGAAAATTCAGGCTAGATTTCTTGCTCTGCTTCAGATTTCCTGTAACTCCTTGGAAAATGGCATTTGTGGTCCTGTTACCCCTCGATTTTTGAGGCAGGATCTGGCCTTTGGGGGTCTGTGCTGAAGCTCTTTGCAGGCAAAGGAGCTTCCAGCCGTGCTGTTAGTGCTTGGTGGGTACCCCACCGAGAACCGCTGAGGGAGGTGGTACCCCGTCCTTTACTACGTGCTCAACCCACGTCCCTCGAGACCATCCCCTTTGCACCGAGCTTCTTGGGAGCCAGGCTCTGCCCCTGCTTCTTACCAGAATGCATTAGTTTTACAAGCAATAATCACGCAATAAACCTGAAAGTGGATTAATTTTTTTTATTTTTTTTTGCTAGGCCTGGTCTTTATCCACGAGAAGTTGGTGCTACATAAACAGGCCTGTGTTGGTTTAGTGATCACATCCCTACCAGAGAGCGTCTAAACTAAAGCAGTAGTTCTGGGAGCAAGCTCTGGGTTCCAGAGAAGCTGATTTGGGGAGTGATAAGCGTGATTCCTCACATGGGATCTGTGGGCTCGGCTGCGTGTGACATGCTCTCCTTTGCTTTCGATGAGTGCAGTTCAGTGAGCGCAGGACATGCTTTTTTATCAGTTTCAGATGCTTTTTCTTTCCAGGGCTGCATGTTTTGAGTTCTTAGCCCCGGTGCTGGCGCGGTGGCTTTGGTGACATTGGCTGGTGTGGGGCAGGTGTTGGGGCTGGACTTTCTGAGCTCCTGAGTGAGCACAGGGCTGGGCCGGCAGATGTGGGATGGGGAGCTCGCAGCGGCTGGGCTGCTCGGGTGAATGTAGTGCCTTGGCTTGCAGGTGAAGTTCGTTGGAGTCTGTCTGGGTCATTTATAAAACAAAGGGAAAGAGTTAAAAAAGAGCTGTTCCTGATGTTACTGGGGCAGTAACTGGGACAGTAACATCAGGAACAGACAATTTGCACAGAACTGGTCAGCCTTTGGGTGCTGACTGCTGGGTGCCCCCCGAAACAAGGTCCTGACACCACCTACAGCGATGGGGCGAGCTGCCCCAAGTGTCTGCATCAGGCTCCCAGCCCAGAGACCCATGTCCTTGACTATGCTGCCTGTAAAGGAGAGGGGAGGCCATTTTAACAGCTTCAGCCGGTCTTTGCAAAGCTACACTCCATAAATAGTGCTCTCTGGGAACTCACTGCTGCTTTTTAGCATGCATGCAGGGGGGGTGCCAGCAGAAACGTCTTGGTGGGCTTCCTTGAACCACCTGGGTGCCTCTGAGGGGCTCAGGTGGCTGCTGACCCTGAGCTGACTGTGAGACCCCAGCATGGGTCATCCAACGTTTCCAGCGAGCCCGTCGGCAGCTGCATCCCAGCAGCACCAGTCACTGCTTGCCAGCAGGCTAAGGGTGGGTGTCCCCCTCCCCAGACACGTGCACCTCGGATCTCCTCTGGCACAGCTCCTTTGTTCCCAGCGACCCATTCCCTGCTCGGAGGGGCCGGGAGAGCCGGGGTTGTGCAGCTTGGGTGGGTGATGATGGGTGCAAGGCAGTGGTGGCCTGGGGCATGCAGCTGGGCCTGTGGCCACCC